ACAGCAGACGGCACGTCATCATCGTGAGTGTGGTCGTTCAGTGGTGTGGAGCTGATCTGCACACTGAGGGACATGGGAGAGCAACAGGGGAGACGAGAGGTGCGGCAGACACACACAGAGGGCACACCACATGAGGAGAGGGCAGCAGCCAGGCATGCACCGTACGCCGCACACCACGCAGGACACACACCCCAATCCACGGCAGCAGGCACACACACACACACAGCCCTGCCGCAGCACCAACACACAGATGGAGGAGGGAGAAGCAAACAGGAGCGGCACACAAGGCTCCACCGCATGCACACACGGCGAGAGCGGTCCGTCGTGCCGGCACCCCTCACGGAGGGTACGCACACACACAAGAGAAGGTGCAGTGCACACAGCAACACAAAAGCAAAGTAACAATTAAAAAGGGATGTCCCCGCACACCACGTGGATTGTTGGTCCATGGGAAGGCTAGCCAATATTCATCACAAAAACAATTCATTTTTCTTAGGCATTCGTTAATATTCAGTGCACACCACTTCATGCAGGCCTGGGCACCACTGCAGCAGCAGCAGCACGCAAACGTGAAAATAAGACGCAAAAGAGGGGAGGTGGTGTGTAGAAGACAGCGGTGCTACTGTCGCTGTCGGCGGTGGTCGTTGTTCCTTTCTCATTGCTGGTGAATGATGTTGTCGTTAATTCCTACGGTTGCTTGACTAGGAGTGATGTTAAAAGACAATTGGTGTCCTGACAGTCCGTTGATGCCTTCCCTTTCCCGTCGATTTCTGTGCTCGCTGGTGGTGTGGGTAGGTCGTTGGAGTCGGCGAGACGCTGACAGGGCTGCCAGCACCATCCGATTGAACTTGTTCTGCCGTGTTCTCGTCCCCAGTCTTACTGCACCAGCTGCTGGGGCGGTGCGGCAGTCATGCCAGAAGCACCAGCAATGGGCTGGGGTGTCGGCCGCATCAATCAATGGGTGTGTCCGCAATCGATAGGAACTTGCATCGACGAGGGAGCCTGCACCGACGCTCGGGATGGGGAAACAAAGACGCCAAACAGAACAGTGCATGCCACCCCGGAAAATCCGCAAGGAGTGTAGTCTCATGAGGCTGTGTTGCTGCCGTGGCGACGGAAATGAATGGCGACGCGAGTGGCGTCCTCGTCGTGCGTCCCCTCCTGCCAATCCTCGCGGTAAACCCATTGCCCGAGTACATTGGATTCCGCCTGAGAGACCAATTTAAAATGTTCTTCTGTCTAAATGTATTGTACTCGTAACTGGCCACAGTTGCCCGCAATGCCTCCAGCGGATACACCTGCGATGCACGGTCGACACATTCCACATCCACTCGTCGTGCGCCATCCAACACCATCTTTTCCTTGGAGTTACGAACAACACCGGGCACACACTCTTTTTCGGCCGTCCATGGCATGCGCCTGCGGTGAAAATCCGGAGAAAGTCCCATTTCTTTTGTGCACAAAGTCATGGAGCTGCCGTCGTTAGGCGCGTCCCGGCGAGGGCAACAAAAGCCCGCCGCAGCACTCACGAATGCCCACCCGTTGCCTCCTGTGTAAAAAAAAAATAAACATTGGAGGGAAAAGCGTGCACAAATGCCCCGGCAAAAAAGTCGGCAGCAGTGGATGAACACTGAAGCCGTGGGTGCATGCCCCACAAATGTCCTTCCTTTTTTAACCGCCTTCTTAGTGGCAGAGAAACGACTTGCAACCGCACACACAAGAAAACAAAAGCAAAAGGCAAGCAGCGCAGCCGTTGAAACACACACACGCGCATCGTATGGAACACTTCTTGGAGAAGAACTGAATGCAGGAAGAAGCGCACACAATTCCCACAGACACCCTCAGTCGTGTGTGTTTGTGTACTTCCCACTCTTTGGCCCTTGATGCATTCCTGTGCGTGTCTCGCCAGTGAGTCACAGTGCCGTGGGGTGCCAAGTCCCTGCACAAACACACCTCAGGACGCGGCAGCGAAGCTCCCCAATGACCACCTCACGGCCATACCTTTTGGATATCTCATGGACCGGGCGCCTCTCGCTGCAGGCCACACCACACAAAACAAGCAGCACAATGCGCTGAGGAGTTGTGAGGGCAATCATCCCACCACAACCACCACCACCCAGATCAGGATGATTCTCCTCTTTGCCACCACACCCTTGAAATGGCCCGGCGTTTTTCCTGCTGCTCCACTGTTATGGCCACCACTCGCGCCATTTGGCCCTATCACATGATCGCGCTGCACCGATGACAACGAAAGCCCAACCCGCAGCGTCCTATTCCTGCCCGTCTCCATCATCATACAGGCCTGTTTCAGAAGCGGATCCTCGTCCGTCGCGGCGTTGCTCGCAGAGGCACTCGTGCTCCGTCCGCCCTGCGCCGACGCCGTGCTGTATTGCTGCACGCTCCCGGCCCTCCTCGTCAGATGCTCAAGTTTCGCAAACAAATGGGCGTCGGGCGTCAGTCCACCGTCTCGGATCAGCTGCTGCTTCTTGGCCTCCGTCAACTCGTCGGTGCTGCTCGCAGTCACAAGCAACAGAAGACGCAGACGCACTGGCCGGGGCATCGCGGCATCTCTCGTCAGGTGCCGCATGCCATCCAGGTTTTTCCTGAAGGGTTGGTGCCCAACGGCGATGTCTTGTTCCACCTCCCGCACCTCCGCCAGTCGCTTCTCCCGGTACTGTGCCACAAGCCTCGCGCAAATATCGATGTGCAGCGACAGTCTGGCTTGCCTCTCCCGAAACTCCGGCGGAGCCCGCACCGCACTGCCCAACTCCGCAAGCTTGGCCTTCGGCTCCACGCCATGCGCCAATCCCGGGTGATACGCGTGGAGTTTTTTCAGCGCCACCGAAAGCTCCTCCATGCACTGCGCAAGGAATCAATGACGGTAGGAGCACCAGTACACATCTTCTTCATCCAGCAATTGCTGCCGCTTCGAGTCCACACCCAGACGATTCCTACAGGTCTGCTCATACAAGTTATTCTCCAGCGGCATCAGGTCATCAAGCAGACACCGACATGTGCGTTGTTGCATCAGCGGCGTCACCGTGACACAGCCCCAATCAACGATGATCCGCACCGGGTTGCCGCAGCTGTCGGCGCCCCTAAGTGAAATCCGGCTCGTCGTAGCAGAGCTTGGCAAGCCTCTAAAAGAAATTCCTAGCAAACCCATGGCAGATGCTGCTTCTGCTTTGTTGGCGAATAACAGGCACACCGTTGTTCATGGCGTGAATAGCCGCCACAGGACGTGACGCCGCAACATCCAAAACGGACCATTAATTCGGAGGCGACAGCAGCTGAGGGAACCCATTCTGCATGCTGAGGTGGAAAACCAGCACCTCAGGGGCGGTGAAGTCTAACATAATGACCTTGGAACGCATCGCCCTCGGCGCTATCCGAACCCACACCAGTTGCTGAGGACTGCGATGCGGGGTGTACCCCAACGCAAAGATGTGTGCATCCCTGTGCGGGACCTTTGCCATCCAATCCTCAACCACGCGGCTCACAGACGCATCCTCCACGGCAAAAAAGTAGCGCGCAGGGCTACTCATAATCGGCTGCCGCGGCGTCAGGGGGTTCTCGAGCAGCGTCACGCCGTGCTCCATGAGATCATGAAGACGCAGTGAGCAGCTCAGCGCAGACGCAGCATGGGCATCGCAGAAAAAACTTTAAACGATCCATGAACGGCGTCAAGCATCTGATGGAATATATGATCCTGCACACAACCACAAACGCCATTGCTGGGCTCACACAGCTGCCCCTCTTCCGTCGGCCTTGACCGCACCAATCCGCCCGCATAATATGTCAAGTACAATTCACACAGACAATGTGATTCGATATGTGTGTGTGTTTGTCTTGTGTGTGCACATTCCACTCGCACCGGTGTGTGTATATGCGTCTCAGAAAATCTAACAGACACACAAGCAACGCCGTAATACCATACAGTGGCCCAACATCGGCAACCAACACAAGAAGAGCTGTGTGCATCGGAAATACAACCAATCTCAAATAAAAGTCAAACGGAGTTGACACAGCACATGCATATGGAGAACGGCACCCATTGAAATAGATGTTTTTCTATTGGAAATCCAATGCTGAGTGCGGGCCACGCAGGAGGAAGCGCAGTCGCCTCGCAGCGCAACGCCGTCCACACCGCAATTCCATAGAGTGTTGCCACGGCGGCAGTAGAGGCAAGCAGAAGAAGCAGCGGACAGGGACAAGCAGCAGCAACAGTGTCATCACCGGGAGTCGGACGCGTGTCTTACTTGCCGTCCTTCTCGCTGCTTCGGTCCCTGCCGCCGAGAGAAGCTTCTTGCGGTCTGTCGGGGCGTCCTGGCCGGATCCACTTCTCCTCTGGCGATGGATTCTTCTGAGGAGCTGCTAAGTCGACATCCTTCGGTGGTGTGCAGCGGCCGGTCTCGATGCTCTCCGCAACGGGGACGGATGCCCGTGGCAATCCTTGTTCAGTAGCTGCCGGTGAAACCGTCCTGCTCCACACACGCCCTCTCCTCGCCGTCCCACGGAACCACTGGAAGGAGGCTGCCGCTGGTGGCAGATATCGTGCACACCTGCGCGTGGCCACGGCAACTAACAGTCCCTCATCGTAGGGCGGAGCAACTCACGTAATCATCGCTCCGTCCGTGCATGGGGCACAACGGGCGTTGCCCTCTTCAGTCACTCTCAGACGCACCCGCATGCCGAGGCACTTCAATGCCAAATACATGGCAGCACTGAAATATGTCTCCTCCGGGTCCCTCGCATCCGTCGTGTTGTTGGGAAGCGTGTCCAGACACCACGAAGAGGACTTGTCCCCAGGCATCGCAGACAAATATTCTTCCCTCCAAATAGCACCCTCAGTATTCCTCACATCCAGTGCGGGACCAGTGATGGGGCAACGGTCCATCGGGTGTTTCGCTGACATTTCATGGATACTCCCCAATTACCAACCGCGGGAATACCGGTACGACGCGCAACGTCTGGCATCAATGTCGTCGCAGTCGTGGTGCTCCCTCGCTGCCATCGCGGCATTCGTCGAGTCCACCACCACCGACAGCGCCCCGCCACGCACACAGGCAACGTTCATCGCCATGCTGCGGCTGGCCATGTGCGGGCAGGTGAACCCGACAGCATGGCCACCAGGTGCGCGGCGATGCGGGTGGCGATGCGTCCGTGAAATAAAATGGCCGGGCAATGTGAATGGCACCAGCGACGGGACAGCCATCCTCCAGCGTGACGAACGGCTGTGCCCACACACCACCCGGCGCCGCAGCCACGCACTGCACCATGACAGAATTGGGGGCACCAGTGGAACGATGCCCATCAGGCACCGTGAACCGACTGCAAACACTGCCCGTGGCAAATGGGGGCACGATCAACGGACACTCCAGTGGCCGGACGAGCAGACGATCCGCATGCAGTTTGAAAGCAGCAGGGACAACTTCATTCTCAAGAATGATCCCGTGCGCAGAGGATACAACGTCACCTTCACACTCGCAATTGTCATTCGATGAATTCATTGCGTGACACCGGGAGAAGCCGCAGTGACTCCTGCTGTCACACGGGTCCGTTGATGGAACCTTAATGCGGACGGTCACCCATCGTTTACTCCAAACGAAGCTCCACAACTGCAACGCATCCAGCGCCCTGAGATGCATTCTCCCCACCGTAACCGGGATCGACCTCGCCGTCGGAGAAGAATACATCGTCAAAAAATCAGGAATACTTCAGGGGGACAACAAAGCAACCGCTGACAAATCACATCGCAAAGATCATCACAAACAGAAGAAGCAGCGCTGGAGACCGTGGGGTGGCGTCGATCAAATGACGCATGCCATAAGCCAAAGAAAAGCTAATTGACTTGAGAAGAATACAAGAGGCTAACACACTCTCAGAAGAATAGAAACAATATGAAACAAAAAAAATTCAAGTCTCCAAAGTCAAACCAAACTGCCAATCGAAAAAGCGTGTAAAAGGTCCACACAACCACAACACAAGTAAAAGAATGAAGAAGAAAACAAAAAAGCCGAAGCGTGGGACGACCAGCGCACACACACTCTCATTGCTCCCGTAAAGCAAAACACACACACAGGGAGAGAGAGAGAAGTCGCCCACTCAATGCAATAAAAACAAAACAGAACAGTTACGGTGCTCCGCCCATGCAGCCAGGCAGGACGGCAGCGGTGCGTGTCGTGCAAAAGAGAGCACCAACGGCCTGCATGGGTGTGCATGCATATATACAATGGGCACATTATTGTGGGTGCCTCGTGGGGTGAGGTGAGGGCAAGAGTCCATGCAAGGGGACACACACAGAGAGAGTGAAGGACGAGTGTGTGTGCGGGCGGTGCATGGCTCTCTCCCTCACTCTCACGCGGCCACCACCGCAGCAGCCGCACACGCAAAAACAAGAAGAAGCAAAAGATGGGAGGTGGTGTGGGAGACCGCGGTGCTGCCGTCACTGTCGTCAAGCGTCGCTGTG